TTTCTTCTTATTCTTCTTCTCCTCCTTCTTCTTCTTCTTCTTCTTCTTCTCCTCCTCCTTCTTATTCTTCTTCAACTCCTCTTCTTCCTCCTTCTTTTTCGTCTCATCCTCCTTCTTCTTCTCCTCCTCCTTCTTCTTCTTCTTCTTTATTTTCTGCTTCTTCATCTTCTCCTCCTCCTCTTACTCCTTCTCCATCTCCTTTACCTCATCCTCCTTCTTCTTCTCCTTCTTATTCTTCTTCTCCTCCTCCTTCTTCTTCTTCTCCTCCTTCTCCATCTTCCCCTCTTTCTGATTCCCTCATCGCTGCCTCCCTCTCTTCTCTACTCCTCTCCTCACTCGACTACCCTCCCTGATGATAGTAACAACAGTTGTCTTTCCCTTAAATGACAGCCCTACTCGACCAGCTCTTACCGGTCGGCCGGATTGAGATTGCCGAGTGCGCTGTCCAGTTCTTGGTTGCCGCCCACAACTGGTCTGGTGGCGGCCGGCATCTTGGCCTGGCTGACTGCTCTGCCTCCGGCCATCTCGCTGGGAATCATGCTCTACGAACAGCACGCCTGGCCGTCGTGGGTGGCGGGCAGAGTCGCGACCGAATCCGATTCGGAGGCCGCTTCCCTCCTCCCAACCTCAAGCCTGACTGGACAAACTGTCTTCGAGACCACCGGCGACCGCAACACCAACAACCGCAGCCACGTCTACGGCTACGGCTACGGCTACGGCTACGGGCACGAGTCGACGAGGCCGTTCGCCAGTCCATTGACAGTCGAACTCGTCCGCCTCATCAACGGTCTGGCAAGCGGATTGTTCTGTTGTCTCTGGCTGCTGCGGCCCGCCACTTGGAGGGCCTGGAGGGCTTGGCTGGTCGGAATGAAGCGGAGGCAAGAGATGCGTGTCAATCGACGTAGTCAAGGCGAGTCGGCCAATCACACACCGCCCCACATACCGAATTGCCCTCATCCTGTTGCTGACTATTGACATGCAATTTCCACTTATCCAAATGATTAATTGTTTTGAAACAGTAGCATTAGCATCAATTGCATAGCAATTGCCAGTAACGAGATGAGAAGAGGCGCGACAGACAATTGGGCCATTCCACTCGGTTCTTGGTTTTGCTGTCTTGTCAGCTTGCGAAAAGGTTGGGTGATCGGCTGAGGAAGTGGAACATAAAAACAATGAATAAAGAGAAATTAACACTTTCTTCGGTACTTCCTTCGTGTTAGACAATGTCCAGACCATCATTCTAGATCAGGCTGCTGCAAGTTTTCGTGCTCACGTGGTAGAGTCTATGTGGGTGAGACCCGCCGACCCCTCCAGAAGAGACTACGCGGACAAAAATCCGCTTGTAAAATTTCCTGTTTCCATAAACCTGAGCTCGTTGGGCACATGTTGGCAGTACAGGACACTCGATAGGCTGGTCGAAAACACCACATTTTGCGGGTTACGGGGACTTAACGTCGAAGCGCAAGAGTAGGGAGTCTACAGAAATGGGCAAAACAGCCAAAGTAGTGAATGGGAGGAGCAAATGTATGAAAATGAGTATGAACTATTTGTGGCTGTTGGATCGGCTTAAGGAGAGGGGGCGAGAGGGAGTACAGGAAGAGCCAGTGAGCAAGAGGAGGAGGCTGGATTAGCCTCGAATCTGGCTACGACCATCACACTTATAATGACATGAACATTGCATACACACAACACACAACAGACAACAGCACAAATACAGACAGACAAGAGTCAGCATTAGAGGATGGTAGGCTTGTTTGTCTATTTTGATAAAGGAACAGTTGCCACCAGATGCACTTCTTGTTGCTGAATTAACTTCTCTCGTCTGCAAGCATGTGGAGTAGGTTCGAGGTAGTCAACCAAATCATGCGATGCCTCGTCAAGATCGCAAACTGAGGCGCATAAAAAAGCGACTAGCCACGCGGGCGGCCACCTCTTCTCCCGGTTTAGTATAGTTTTTCTCTATTTCGTCAAGTATGATGATGATGTCTGTCACGACGGTACCGACGAAAGCTGATCACAGTTTCATCGGGCTCGCAGGACCCTGAGCCGAGGACTTTTTCGCACAATCTATCAGACTTCTCTAGGCAACATTCCACCTTCGGTTTCCGGTGAGACCACCTCACAAATTCCTTCCAACCAACTTCTCCTTCGAAATGGAAAGTCATGTCACAA